GTGAATTTTCAGCTATGCACACATCAAAAGCCATTGCCTTGGTCAGAGAGAAGAGAMATTCCTTTCTTGCCCAGCCAAGCCAGGAGCAGCACTGTGGCACTGCTCTGAAGAGCTGGGCCACTGGACTTGGGCACAAAAGTGGTTTTCTGCTGGAGTTTGATGCAACTTTGCAACCAAAACTTTAACWGGGAGCTCTTAGGTCATGTTGCTCCAACTCCAGTCAGACTTTGAGTTATCTGCTGTGTGAATACATCCCAACACAAAGATCACACTTGGCTGATTGGAGGAGGTGTTTAAAATCCAGTGGAAGGTGYCCCTGGCATGAAACGAGATGAGCYTTAAGGTTCTTTCCAACCCAAACCATTCCATGATTTTGTGATTTGTTTTAAAAGAACCTTTTAAAAGAACCAAGGGTATCACATTATGGAGTTGATATCAGTGGGAGCCAGCACCTAAATTTGCAGGCAGTGTGGCACAGCACAACGAGGCAGAAAGCAAAGCAAAAACTGATGGCCTTTGTAGAAATCTCTGTTCATGGCAGGGGGATCCCTGCTCATTGCAGGGAGATGGATTCAATGACCTTTAAAGCTGCCTTCCAACCCAAACTACTCCACGAGTCCAAATGCCCTCATGCAGGAAGCTTTACAGCAGCAGAACAACAGAAGTAGTCTAAAGTACTGAATGTTATCAGATGTTGAAGGAGATGGATATTGACTCTTCCCTTGGCTCTAAACCAAATCATTATTTATTCTCAGCTCTGAGTCACAATCCCAGGCTCAGGGATGGTGCTTTTCAAGGTTTGTTGTTCAGTGCAAGTTTAACATTAAGCCCAAGGAGCAAGAGCCTGACATTACAAATGAGCTTGGCAGAACAATCTCCAGCAGCAGACACAGGAAAGCCAATTAGGAAAAACATTAAGTGAAACCAACCCCCTCATAATATTTCATTTTACTTCCCCAGACAAACAGGTGGGAAACATATTTGATCAGCCTTTCCCCCTGCCAAAACATTGCTGCAGGAGGTTTTTAGGAGAGATAAATGTGCAGGTTCCCAGGTGTTGGTTCCTCCTGACAGACAGAGTTAATGACTGAGTGCCAAAACTCACCTCTTGCCTTTCTGAATCCGAGACACATCCACCGAATCCCTGCTGAAAACATCGAACTCATCGTTCTGGAAAACGTTGTAGCGAGAGCTGACCAGAGGGGTGGGGTCTGGCTTCAGCTGCCTGGTAAACAAAAACAAGGAGAGAGAATAGAAACAAAGGTGAAGTGAGGAAGACAAATGTCTTCTTTCTCGAAGYCCTTGGTTTATCTTTTGTCAGTGCCACAGCAATCCCAATCCCCAGAGGTGCTGGCTGAGTCACAGGGCACAGCCCCTTCACTTCCCAGCCATGCTCTGGCACGAACACGGCACTTTYCAAAGCTTGGAGCTGAGGGGTGGCTAAAGCAACTCACAGAAAGCCAAGAGAAAATCCTTCTGTTCATTTCAGAGCCCATCAAACCATGCACCAAAACGGAATATTCAACAGACTGCCTGGTCTCAGCACAGTGACTCAGTAAAGACAAACACTAAGTGTGATGAATTACACGCTGGAAAAAATTCCAATAATTTGTTGCTGCTGATTTCAAGATATTTATCTCCCTTGTTAAATCTTTCTCAGGGTTCCAGGTTTAGGTTTGTTCAACTTAAAAAATCCAAAGACTGTACTTTTGACATTCATTGTGRTGGTGCAGTTAGCTCAGCTGGGCAGCTGCAAACACTGCTGTGCTCCTCTATAAATCAGCAGGGGTCAGAATTTGACATTTCCTATCGAACCAACAGCTTTGTTTCAAGATGCAAAGTGCAGGGGAAAAAAAATCGTGCTCTATCTTGTGGAACTGCTGGCTTTGCAGAAAAACCAATCCTTCCTAAAGCCCATCCTGCAGCAGTTGTGCCAAAGTCAGCAGATCTGACTGTGGAAACACAAAGACTGTTGCAAAACGAAGATTTTTTTACATCATTTTTCCGATAAAGATGCTCTCCTTTAATGCAACAGTGAGACAGTCTGCCCATAACTCCATGAAATGTGAACAAACAGCACATTCACATCCTGATGCTCTGTCAGGAACTGCTGGTGCAGCACAAACACACACTCACAGCTGCAAACAAACTCCAACAACTCAATCCTGCCATCAGCTATAAACACTCTATCCCTTGTCCAGCCCAGAAAAGCAGGACAAACCTGGCAAGTTTGTCAGAGGGAACATAAAGAAGGACCTGAATTGTCATTTCCAACCCCTTTCTCTGGTCTAACTTCACTCAAAAACAGCAGCTTGTTCAATAACCAGATTTGACCCTGCAGGTTGAATTCCAGCTGGATTAGCTCCTCTGAAGATGCCCTTTCCAGCAGGACAGCTGGGATTTTCACACCCGCGACACCAGATTCTACAGCAAAACAACTTTTGAAGGCAACATATTCTATTGCCCAGCATCCTATTCTATTCTATTCTATTCTATTCTATTCTATTCTATTCTATTCTATTCTATTCTATTCTATTCTATTCTATTCTATTCTATTCTATTCTATTCTATTCTATTCTATTCTCTATAGTCTAGTCTAGTCTAATTTTCTATCCTATCCCATTCCATTTTGAACATTTCATGTACAAGTAGCTTTGTTCCCAATCACAAAACACAACCCAGCACCTGCTCTACTCCAACACAGTGCAGGGACACAGTGAGGGCAGAAAACTGGTGACAGGTGACAATGAGAAGCTCTCACTGTAGTTCTCTATCCCAAAATGCAAATTCTTAGAGCTCTACAAGTGTTGGGCCTTCAGTAAGAATGATTAGGTGAGAAAGAAACAGCCAGAGGTTGTCCCACACCTTTGCATCCTTCGATCCAGCTTATCCAGGTACGGCACCAGCTTATCCTCCAGGATGTTGTTGATCACCTGCTCCGTGTCATATCCATACTCCTCCAAGCAGGCCAGGATGAAGCCCTCACCCAGGTCTGGCAGCAGATCCTTCACCTGGGAGATGAGGGAGTCCAGCTCCACGCCGGACACGCGGGCGATGGGCGCGGCCGCAGCGCCGGCACACTGCAGACACCAAACACAGCTGGTGGGYACTGGGCAGGGACACAGCTGAGGGCAGGCAGTGTGCACAGAACACAGGGAAAGCAGCATGCTGGGCTGGCAGAGTTTAAACACAGARGTGCAAGACTGATGGCAGAAGAAATCAGCTGTTTAAACTACAAATCTGGGCACAGCTGCTTTTGCCAGTCYCTGAATCAGCAAGGACACTCTGGAGAATCCCTTCCCCAAATAAAAGGCGAGCTCTGCATTTCAAAAACATGCACATGAACTGCARGGATGAAGCAAAGTATTTGAATAATCCCCAGCAAGGGAAAACCCAAGCCAAGGGAGTTGGAAGCAATTTGCTCAGAGATAACTCGGGATTCAGGTGTAGCTTCAGTTCTCATTTCCCAAGGGTGCACAGAGATGCARCAAAGGTCAGAAATGACACAAAATTTCATGTTGTCCCCAAAGCTGAGCAAATCAAGACCATCCTCACAGCTGAAGGAAGGTCAGGAAGAGCAGAGGCCCCGGGGAAAGCAGAGCCCAGTCCCACCCACGGAGCTGTACCCACCTCATCCTCCAGGGCACACGCAGCCCCCACATCCTCCCCGTCCTCAGGGSTGCTCTCCACCATCGCTGATGCTCCATTGGATGCTGCTGCTGCTGCTGGATCTTTATCAGCTGGTCCTTTCTTCCTGTCTACCCCTTCCCAGGCACTTTCCACTGCCTGGAGGATGTAGGCTGTCCTCGTCTCATCTCTAAGAGCACAGCATTAAGGACATTCCTGGATGCACATGTTCAGGGATTGACTCGAGGTAACTCTGGGATTGTCAGCAACTTCCAAACTTGTGCCKGCATCAACACTCAGAACCYTGCAAYGGTTTGGGTGGGAAGGGACCCTAAARCWCATCTCAGGGGAGGGGCAGGGACACCTTCCACTGTCCCAGGCTGCTCCAAGCCCCAGTGTCCAGCCTGGCCTTGGACACTKCCAGGGATCCAGGGGCAGCCACAGCTTCTCTGGGCAACAACTCCCCCCGCTCCCTTTTTTTCTCTTAAGGGAAAACCTTCCAGCATTCCTTGCCAGTCATGAAGYTTAGCCAAAGGCAGCAACAGCAGCAATGTCCCTGATGTGCAGGAATCCAAGAGCAAAGCCCAAGGTGAGAGCAAAGGATACAGAGTGGAGGATGCCTGCTGGAGCAGACTCACATCATCCTCAATGGGAAACAGCTCGTCATAGTCACGGAGAAATCTGAAAACACAGGAGCATGGTTTAATCAGTCGAGCTCAATTAATTACCACTGCTGTGCCTCTCTGACTGCCTCAGCGCTCAGGTAGGAACAGAGAMCCTCTCACCCAATGCTGGATTCCAGCCATGCCTGTTTTTGGTCCCACTACACCACAGCAACACTCCTCAGGCACGAGGGCTGGAACCCAGTGCTGCATTATGGGGAAAATCTGCTTTACCACGTCAACGTGCTCAGAATGCCAGRGGCGGGAGGACAGAATGGAATTCCCAGCTCTGCCACTTCCTTTGCATCTCCAGCATTAGTGTTTAATATTTTTCTGGTCTGGTCAGGCCAGCTGGAAAGCACAGTTCAGTAACAACAGCCTAACTTGTCAAGGGAGCTAATGGTTAAATTGCTTTTGTCTTTGAGAGGCTGGATTAAAGAGAGTGAAGAATAGCATTTCTCAGTGCCAGGGTCTGTGCCGCAGGCTGAAATCTTCTCACTGCACTTCTCCCAACCACTTACAACGATTTCTGACTCCCAAATGCCTCATAATGCTGCCTCAAGCAATTCTGCTGTAAAGAATGGCAGAGGAAGGAGCTGAGCCCCCCTCGGGCCTCTTGCCAGCCAGACTCACCTCCTTTCCTGAAGCACCGAGGTGAAGATCTGCAGAAACTCCTCAATAAATGGCTGAATATTCTCACAGCTGCAGGAAACACAGCACAGTGAACACTCAGAGGTAAATCTGCCCCACGTTCTGCCCCACCAGYCAAACTACTCACATTTACACACCAAGGAAAGCCCCATTTGGAAAGGGATTTCAGGCCACTTTTTGGTTTTCACATGAGCAAAGAGTCAAATGGAAACAAGTGGGTTTTGAGGCTTCAGCAAACATTTCAGCGGTTCAGACAGATTTTACAAATAGTTTGATGCCTCAGACTCACAGTGAGCAAAGAAGGGCGCGTGGAGCGTTTGGACTGTGCCTTCATTACATGTCCTGGGATTMCAGCAGTGAACCTCCCAGCAAGTTTGTGCTCACCTGTGCAAGAACATCTGCCAAGCAAACTCCCCTTGCAGCCTCAGTGCCCAAACCTCTGGGTGCTGCTGAAGCTCCAAACCTCACTCCA